AAAAAGTTTATAATTATAGTTTTATATAATAATATATTTATATATATATATAATTATAAAATAAAATTATAGTTTATATTATTTTTTATTTTTTTTTTTTTTTTTTTAAATATATTTAAGTTATTTAATAATATATTAAAGCTTATATTTATATTAATTAATTTATTTAACTTTAATAATAAATTATATTTTATTATTATAAAGTCTAATAAGATTTTTATTATAATTTAAACTTTTTTAATACTTAATAGCTATTTTTATAATAAAGTATAAAAATTACTTTATATATTATAAGTAATATAGTTTTAAAATTAAAAATTTTACTTTTTCTTTTCTTTTATAACCCTTACTATAACATGACCCTCTACTAATTGGCTTTCATCAGCACTATCGACCTTTAGCTTTTTATCCAATGGCATAATACCTATCTCATACCATTTAGTCTTGGCCTTCTTGCTCTCTCGGTCCATCTCTTTTCTCGGCTGCAGCCATCGCCATGCACTGGAACCGTCTCCACCTCCCAAAGGCATCTGAACTGTTGACTCGGGACCTTTTCCATCGGACCTCTGAGCTGAATCCTCAGACAATGGCATGGTTGGTATGAGAATTGGTCCAATGGTGAAGAATGCGCGTAGTCTACCAAGAGACTTCTCGACAAACCATCGAGGCAGTGATATCGAGCCCACGGGGAATAGTGAGCCAGAGTAAACATGAATGGGCATCTTTGGGTCCATGATCGCACTGATGGAAGTTAACTTCCTTAGGTGCTTCTCCTCAAGCTTTCCCCCCAATGTTCCCTCTAGAAAGTAAGGCTTGAGGTAAAGTGGCTGTGGGTGTTCATCCTCAGGCCTTCGCTTTGTCCCAATGCCAGGGCTGGATGATGTCAATGGCCTTCCATCACGATCGAACGATGATTCGATCTTATGAATAGGTCCAGTAGCATTAAAAGTGCCGACCAACCCGTCAAAACCTGCTCTGTGGTTGCCCAGCACGACGGGAAAGCTGTATTGGTCTAGCTGTCGCTCAGAGTCAACGGTTGATAGTAAAGAAGCATCCTGAAGCGGCGGTGCGCTTAGTTCAATGGATAGTCCCACATCAGCGATACAGAATGGACGGCCGAGGGCAGCGGGAAGAGCCATGTCGACGTCAGCTTCGGTGGCTGATGTGCTATCATTTGCACCGGCAAGCATGTCGAAGAGAGAGTGGCAAAACTCATAATGGCTTAATGCATCTACAAAAGCTGCTAGACGACCAGTGGGAACAAAATGCTCACTTGCTTTAACAGGTTCGTCTGACGCAACAGCCATCTTGTCAATGAGCAGCACTTCAATTACAAAGTCTCCTTCTGGAGCATAAACTTGAATGCCGTGGTTGTGAAAGTTCGGTAGCACCCAGGCCCAAACAGGGTTATCCCACTCACTGGCGATATGTCGGAGTGGTGTCCCAGCACTTTGAAATTCCAGGTCAGAGATAGGTTTAAGGAAATGCGTGTTGAGTCGAGCTGGCTGATTGATACGAGGTGGAATCTGAAAGAATTGGCACAGCCCAGGATCCTTCTCAGCCGCGACGACTGTGTTTGGCCAGTAGTCGGACTCATTATCCCCCTGGAGCGCTGGGATAACATGGCAAGCCAGACTGGGTGATATGCTTGGATACATGGCGCCGTCTCCACCTGGACCGAGGCGAATACCCGATACAACTTGACCGAATTTGTCAACAATGGCAAACTTTGTAAACCGCGCTTGACCGTGGGTTACAGGCTTGAAGGGGCTGAAATTGGCCGTGTAGGATGGTGGTAGCGGTGTCGAAACTCCATAGGGCGCTAGATTCGCCGGTCCGTTGGTCTCCAATTCTTTCATAGCTGTGTCGTCAACGTTCAAGATCCTTCTCACGATATCATCCCCTGCCACAGGTCTTGGATGATGTCCTCTGAGTAGCGTCACAAGATGATCTGAAAACCCAGACAAACTTGAGGAGAAGTATTCAAGTCCCGATACTGCACCGAGCATCTCTGTCCTCTGCCTTGTAACCTTATCGTTCTTCGTTGGGGTTTGTGCAAACAACTGTTCTAGTCTCGCATGTAAGGATTTACCTGGCTCAGGAAGAAAGGCTGTTCGGCCACTGATGACACGCATGTCGTTACCAACTGTCTCATCAGCAGCTAGCGACAGCTTTCCCTGTGGAAGGGTGTATCTCCAATTACAAGTTCCATCGTCATTTTCCAACTCCCACCACTCAAAAGGGACGTGGTAGTATTCCAGCTCCCACTCCAAAAATAAAGGAAACCACCCTTGTGTATTGTTCATGTCGTTCACGGCCTCATATGGATTGAGTCCCCCTTTAGAAGAAGGTGACTCAAGCTCTCTCAGAAGAGCCAGAACGGGTCTGGAGATGCTTTTGATTCTCTCATCCTTAAGCCATTCCTCGGAGGATGTGACAGCAGTGGGAGCATCGGGAGAAACCTGGCTCGCCAACCTCACAGACAGTGTGTCGTTAAACTTTTCAGGCCATCCAGATTTCGCGCCGGCTACTAATACATTTGGATCTTGGTGCTGGCCGAAAGGAGCTGTAGGAGTTGGAATGAGCTTCTTTCCGCGGGGCAATAGCTTTTCCAGATCTGCCTTGGCCTTTTCGACTGTAATTAGATTCGACATAGTGTACAGCTTAAGCTCAGTCAAGCATTCTGTAACCTTCTCTGCCTCTAACCTGATCTTCTTTCTCAATGACTCTTGTTCTTCCAGGGGAATCTTTCGAAGGCTGGCCGCATTCCACCAACAGTTGAAAAGACGCTGCCTGAGCTGCTCACACTCTCGACTGCATGTATCAAGAACTCGCTGTCCCTGGTTGAGCACATGTAATTGCGGAATTAGAGTGTCTATACCCCCATTTGCCTCAGACTCACTCTCATCTTTGGGAAGTGCCCAAGCAATTCCCTGAGGTCTTGCCAAGAAGGACTGTGTTGCGGCATCTTCAGCAGCCTTTCGAAGAGAGTCAGGATCATCTTTCTCCGCCATGATACGAATGACTATCCCAGACAGACTGGAAGGATTCTTGGCGTTTGTCGAAGAAGTGGCAGCCATGGATAAGTGCAGGTAAGCCTCGAGCGCATCCAGCATATGAGTCCCAATGGCGATAGGATGCTCAGCGTACATCTGTCTCTGCAATGAGGCAGCTGGCCATCGAAAGCCTTGTGAAACCTTTCTGTTCCATCTGACATTTCGCAAGACTCCTTGAGTGAGAGTGCGACCAACGATGCTTGCGGAAGTTCTCGAAAAGCTGGTTCCGATAACTGAGTCGAGATCGACCTTGAGATGGAGCGCATCAAGGAGTTCTTTGTTACTCATCAATTCAGGCTCTTCTTCATCATTTGCTTCAGGCACAAGCTTGTCAGCATCGGCAAAAGTGAAGGGATCAGATTCTGTTGCAGACGAGTGAAATCCAATAACAGAGTAGTCGACGAGCTCTTCATCAATACCATCCAGGTTGTCGAAATATGAAAAGACACCCATATTGTGCGGCGCATAGTCGGCAAAATACTCGTGCCCCAGTTCAAAAGCATTGAATGGTGTCTTGTAACAAGGTTCTGCTCTTTTTGTCTCAGATTCGGCTGCAAGCGGACTCGATCGTCCCATTCGTAGTAACGGCTGATCCTCGATATTGCGGTAGGGATCCATTGCTGGGCAAGTGCTTAACTCAAAATCCTCGTCTATATCGCCTTCATTGATCTTGCGAATACGGTTGCTCTCGACTAAGATATGCTTTGATAGTTCTGGTTTGTTGCGAACTTGACGGACGATGATCCAGCGATCTGGGGACGGCCTGAACTGTACAGCCTCATCGTGAATATTATGTGCTTTCACGGCATCACCACACTTGAAGCCTGCCCGAGCTTTTCGGGACTCCCAATTGTTCATTTTCTCTCCCTTCAAGCCCTGCATCGGGGCCATGGCACTCTCCGTTGCGGTGATGGCAGTACGATATAGCCGTGGCAGACACCAAGATAAATACACCCCGCAGCGTTGTGAATGCACCTCTCCAGTCCTTGGATTGATAAATCTTGAGCTGTATCGTGCTTGCATGCGCCAATATGATAGATTCAAGTCATCCATAAGATCATGCGAAGGAGCACTGGCCTCAGCATGTTGGAGTAGTGTTGCATAATCTGGTTCGATGAGAGGAGCGAATTGAGCATCGGTTTGAGGAAAGTCTTCTGCAACGACCAAGGCTTGAACGGCCATTGGCACCACGACTGTGAAGTTCTTTTGAGCTGGAGGGGCATCTTTTGTAGACATTTTTGTGATTGTCTTGAGTAAGTAAATGCTTGTACAATGCAGGGGAATGAGCTTGAAGTGATAACTTTGACAGGTCTAGAATACAAGACTACCCACAGTACCTGTATTGATAACCATACTGTGTTATTAGTGGTCCTGCTGAAAACTAGCGAAAACTAGCGAAAACTAGCGAAAAGGTGCGTCAATAGTCTTGTGATGGAATAGCCCCAGTTGCATACACGAGTAAATCCCTGCAATCAGTGCGGAATTATCTGAGCTGTCCTGTTCCCATGAGACAGCTGAGACCCAAGCAACAAGCCTGCCTCTTCTGTTTAGATAATTCGTTTTTCATGCTTCTCTATCCATCTGGGGAAAGAAACGAGCAGTCAAAAAGATGCAATCTCACTCGCGAAGTCATCTCCAACCTGGATTCTTCAACCACCATGAAGTGCTCAAATTATCCGCTTCGCTTGTCTCGGAAAACCCGCCGTCTGCTGAACAGCTCCACCTCTGGTCTCATCACCAGCCATCCCTTACTGTTGGAGATTATACTCTCGATGTCGTTCAGGATGTCACTTTGCCAACTGGACAAACTGTCTCTCTTCAAACGCCATCTCAGGCGCTTCGTGTCTCAAAGCCCAAGTTTCGGCTGACAGATCCAACTGATCTGTATAGCGTCCATCCTGCACCCGGCCATAGCGCTTATGCGAGGACGTTGGCTAATGTCGTCTTCAATCATCCAATGATACCATGGGAAAGGGATATCCTGCCTGGGAAGGGTGTCGGATTCAACAAATTGCCTTCAATGGCTGTCTTGACCTTCTCAGAGGAAGAGTTTGTGTTGGATCCAGACGCTTGGAGGGGCTTTGGCTTCACAGAAGAGTCCGAAAAGCCGACTGAGTATGGGTCTATTGCTACGAAAGCATCAAGACTCATCGACCCTACTTGTACCATTAAATCAACCTTGAACGCTCTGGGATCAAATACAGACTTCGAACCAGAAGATGAGTTAAGTCTGCTCTTACTGGACTCAAAGGTCTTTAAGGACATCTTCACAGCCTATGGAGAAGATAACAAGCCAGGATGGACTGGTCAAGCTAGTTTATCAAAGTTTGCTTTCATGACCTCAGCACAAGAGAGCGCCAGTGGTTTTACCGCAGGCTTATTCTCAGGCGATAGTAAGCAAGGTCTTAAGCCACACTTTTCTGTTATTGTCAGTGCTCGGACAGGGCCTCTGGGCAAGACGTCACCTGTTCGAGTAGTCTCTCACCTGATTTCTCTGGAAGATGTCGACAAGATCAGCGTCTCACCCGATGATACCTCTGGTCAACCAGTGGGTTTGGTTTCTCTGCATGCCTGGGAATGGATGTGCGTACCAGAAGATTCAGCAGACTTTGGTCACGTCCTGACTGAGCTGGGCCAGCATATTAGCCCTCTCAAAGGCCCCTTCGATCCTAGGGGAAAGGAAGGAGAGGAACTGCCAAGTGAGGCTGTCTCATGGTTGAAAGGTATATCTGACGCGGGGTACGTCCTCAAACCACATACGGCCATAACAGGAGAAAAGACCAGGGTGCTCTTGAGAGGTCCATTGATCCCTGTCAAACCAGATATGAACTCAGTAGAGGCATTTTCACTTAATGGCGAAGGCATGAGTTTTGTCGATGAAATAACGGGTATACCAGACGCTTCTTACAAGTCGGCATGGACTCTAGGAAGATCTATGATGATGGCTGATCGATCATTGAGTGCAAGCCTGCTGCGTCTCAGAGGTAGCATCCACGCCGAGGCTATTCGTCTAGCAAAAGCAAAGGCGATTCAGAATCAAGGATATCGAGCTCTCAGCAGCAAAGAGTCCTTTCTCTCCGGCTTACAAGACACAATCAAAAATCTAGAAAAGGCACAAGACGTAAGTGGTCTTGGCAACAAGCCTATTGCAAGTCGCTGGACACGCACGGAGCCAGAAATCGCTAGGTTTCCTCTCAACGGTCTGAACAACGATACTGCATTCACCATCGCAGAGTATGACGGCTATGTCGAACAGGTGGGCCTGCACATGTTTGGTTATGAGACTCAAGATCCAGACGGCAAAGCTGTTCCACCACGTATCATTGATGCCGATGCAGCTGCAGTTCGCGCCTGGGCCATTGACCGTTTTCTTCTCGCTGGTATCCCAATGCATTATCTGCTTCTTAGTCCAGAAATGCTACCGTTGGAATCTATTCGGACGTTTTGTGTCGATAGCAACTGGATCAACTTCCTGGTGGACGGTAGCCTCAGCCTCGCAAATCACTTCGCTCGTGATGATGATGCTGTCCGGCGTGTCATCAAGAAGTGTATCAATAAGTACCTGTCGACCTCTACCAATGGTGGGACCATACCTCAACTGCCACGATGGGGATTTATGATGCGAAGTGCTGCTGTCAGTGCATTTCCTGACCTCAGAGTTGAAGCACCACTACCTCCTGACGCGCCCAGCGATGCTCGTGAGGTGCTCTTTATGCAAAGATTGGCCGACGATGTCCTAGTCTGTCTCTTTGATAGACTTCCTGGCGAGCGTGAGCTTGACCGTATTGTCATCTCCCAGCCTCATCATCAACAGGGTTTCTCACTGGGCACGACCATTGATGAAACCAAGCTCACGGTGTGGCACCGCGCAGTGCCTAAGTATGTTGGTCAAACCGTTGGACTGCCGGTTTCTCAGACTTTCAAGGCTGACGGTCCAATTGATGGATTCGACTTCAAAGCTCGAATGCTCCGTCCAGATGCTTATATGGAAGCATATTGTGAATCCATTCAAAACGACCAAGGTGCATTCACGGACGAGGATCGATTGCGACCATCATCACTGCTTGCTACTCAGCTCAGAAATGCTCATTTGCGGCTGCAGTTAGACGTCGAGACAAGCGTTGAGGGCGATGAACAGACAGATGCATCGGATCGATGGACGAAGCCCGCAATCCAGCTCTCGGAGGGTTCGAGACCAGAACCAAGTTTAGGTGGCGTAGCTGGTCAAGACGAGTGTCAGTCTGAAAAGTCTGGTACCGTTGTCAGAGCTCCTCCTAGAACCGATATCGGACTACCAACCAGCCCAAGAATCCAGATCACTAACTCGGCCTCTTTAGTTACCATTGATCCAGATATGAGTCCTTGGGAGGTTTACCAACAAACATCCAGCAACCTACTTCCCTACTACGCCACACCGCAGAATGTCTCTTGCTGTCTATCCTACGAACCAGGCAACGCCAGCAACTACATATATGCTACAGAGACACCAGTCGATGTAATCTTTAATCTCAGCGCAAACGAATCAAGTGGCCTTCCCCAGGAGGTTGAAATTCGAATCCCCATCGCTCTCGACTCTGGACTATACCCTGCTCCGGTCAAAGACGGCTCCAGAGGAGTCTTTGTGATTACTGGTACTGCTAGTCAACCAATGCTTCCTGTCCTTGAAAGCCTAGATTCTAGTCGGCGGTGGTCTTACGAGTGCACGCTCGCAACCTCGAGCCTTTACTCCTTCGTACCGGAAGCTTTACCAGAAGAAGGAGATCTTATACCCATTGAAAGTGAGAAGTCAGTTATGCTTATCATCAAACTCAAGCCACGTTTCGGGGGCGCGTTTCCTGGCAACGCATCAGCGTTCGAGACTTCTTTCATTCTTCGGCGTATGACCTTTCTTCTTCCGACTGAGGGAACCCCTAATGACCCAAAGGTAACGCCTTCAAGGACTGCAAGATTTGATACCCTATGGCAATCAAGTAAGCCTGGCATAGCCAAGAGTGTTCGTACCACACAATTGACAATCCTGCCGGCGGTCATGATCAACTTTAAGAAGACAACCCGGTTCAGGTTGGGAAATTGCTTCAACCTTGAGTTCACCCTATCTAGGATACCCCCTAGAAATTCCCGCTGTCATCTTCACGTCAAGCCGCAGACTTGCCAGCCACCATTCACCGAGACATTTAGCCTCATACACTCAACACTGATGCCCGATGGAGGCTACGAGTGCAGTGGATTCTGTAGCGTTGACCTCAGTCGCTTCGAAGACAGGGGTCTTGTCCCTTTGGAATTGAGGATCGATATCATGGATCATAAATTCGACCATTTACTCGGCCCTGGATCCGAGCCATTCGTTTTTCCACGGGTGCCTGGCATCCATACCGTAAGAGGTTCTATGTCTTACTACTGGGGTGACGACAAGCATCTCTCGATAATATGGCCACCCTACAAGGGCTTTGAGACCAATTTGAAACGCAAGTTCTTTATCTCGAACAGGAAAGAACTAGATCCAGAACCCGAAGTACCATATTTCTCTTGCGAAATGGACGATAAGAGCGGTATCATCCGCATATGGCCGACAGATTATAGCAAATATGGAGATCCAGAAAATGGCCTTGACATCGAATATTCCCTTGAAACAACTAGCAGCTTGATAGAGCAACCAATAAATCGGGGGTTAGCACATCTCAGTGTAAGGCCAAAAATGGGGCAGGAAGAAATGCCCAATAAATGGAGTGGACCACCAGCAGTTCCAATGCCCGGTAGCCGATTGGCAACTATTTGTTACTGCGACAATACGGGGGTTACTGGGACTCAGGTATGGTACTGGGATAAGAGCAGCCAAAGACTTCAGGGCTTCCAGTACACTGGCAAGTCTGTCACACAGTACAATCCGAACGGTCCTAGGATTGAGGATTCTCTCAATCCAGAGATCACAGGAGCGGGAGCAATTGCTATAGTTCAAACACACCAGGATAATCGATTTAAGATCATATGGATCGGGAGCGACGGCAGCGTCAACGCGTGGTCACGAAGAGAACAGACTTCAAGTTGGTCTTCATATGGCGATGCCAGCGTTGTCGCTCCTGCAGGAAGCGCTTCAACTCACGGAGGGGGTTGTTTGGCCGTATGCGGTGAGACACCCACTAAAGAGTTTAGAAAGCATCGCGATCCTATCATCTGGTGGCTAGGTCCACGAGGAGAGGTCTTTGGACGACGACTTGTAGGAGATTCAGAGCATTGGGTAGATGTTGGGCCTAAGGCTTCTCATCCAGCAGGCAGTGTTGATGTCTCCCAGTCGTTGAAAAGGCCAGCTCAGATAGCGACTGCATGGAGTTACGACTCAGAAACGAACCATAGGTCGTATCTCTTCTGGGTCCGTTCTAATGGAGACATGATGACAACGTGCTTGCATGATGACAATCCTGGTCAAACAGCCGTTGCGTACCAGAATATCGACGCAGCACCCGGCACCTCTCTGACGGCGTTTATTGGAGCTGGCCGACAAAGTCCTGACAAGGTCAAGGTGTATGTGCTCTGGATATCAGCTGACTTGTCTGTCTGTCTCGGATGTCGAACCGGTCTCCCAGATGATACGCGGTATCCTAACGGGTCGGACCAGATCGTCAGAATCTGCTCGCCAGGTTGTGCGAATCCATTGTCGGATCTGTGCTTTATAGGTCATACAAGTGTAAATGCAGCAGCAGTGGTCTGGGCTGATCCTAATGGAAAGTTACAGGTTGCGTGGGCTGAATCGAGTCAGACAAACCCTCAATCTGAACAGAATGAATGGTTAACCTGGGGTTGGAAAGAGTGGCCGAGCTTTGTGACAGGCGGTCAGATTCCTGTTATTGTAACAGCTAAAGACCTAAACAGTATTAGCTACAATCAGGTTTATATTCCAAAGGAGGATGGGACATGGATTGTATATTCTATTGACTTAAGCTCGTTATCTTAACTGTAATATATAGATTAAAAAGCTACTCATTATTTAAAATTAACTTATATATATAATCCTTATGTTTATATTTTAGCGGTATATATAAATGTAAATATATAACTATTAGCTTACCTCGCCGCTGACTATATTACTCTTTTAGGGCAATTCTTTTAACACAACTCTATAGTGTGGATTAAATAATACCTAGCAGAATGCTAGTAGGATCTCTTTTAATGGGATATGCCTCTATAGGAAATAATATAAATATGCCCATTTATACTAGAGTTAGTACAGATCATTTAACGGCATTATACAGATAGCTCCGGCTTACAGCCTTATTAAATCTAATTATTTAGCAATTTTATACTTTAATATGCAGTTTTCTACTCTTACCCTCACTCTTGTGGCACTAGGATCCGCTGCCGCGGATACCTATTCCTGTAAAGGGAGCTCACAGTGTAACAACAACCTGCTTCCCTTTTTCCAGGCCGCCTGGAATAGAATTGATAATACTTATATCTACCGTGCTGGCGGGTAAGTAGCTTGAAATACTAGGTTTACGAGCTAGTTGTGTTAAAACTGAGTTTTCTACGTTAGGAAGGACAGTGGTGTCTGTGCCTCGACCCTGGCGGGTTTAGGTGCTGGTATATTTGTTAAGGGCAATGGCTGTACAGCTACAGGAGGTGTCCTGAAGCAATTCTACACCGAGAGAAGCAATTCTACACCGAGATCCGCAGCCATGGATGTAAAGTTTGTGGCTCTGTAGACTTTGGCAATGGGTGTTAAATCAAGCTTGATTATGTATCTGGCTGTCAGGTCTAATTTGTGACTTAACTAAAGATCTGCTTAAGTTATTCAAACCATTACTGTACTCAGTCATCTGGCGGCATATCGCGAGATAGACTCGCCGTGATGTGATCAATAACTCTAAATTTGACTTTATTCACCAACTCATCCTCATCAAGCAGCAGCTTCATCGCATCGACCTCGCTTGTCAATTCGCCCATATCCTGCCAGACTTCTGAGAAAGTAACGTCTGTATGCTCCTCCAACTCTCTAACCCTCTCGTCCGTCAGTCCCGCCAACGACCCGAATTCCTCTTCCAAATCTTGACGCTTCCTCTCAGACGCGATTAATCTTCCGCGCAAATCATTGATCTCCTGCCTAAGATCTCTGTTCTCGTCCCTGAGCGCATGCAGCTCTTCACTATGACGCGTCTGTATCATCTCAAGCTTGGCCCAGATCAACGCGATGTCGTCGTCTCGTTCTTCGCGATCATCTTTCCGCGGTCGCTTTCGGTCATAGATTGGAGCGGGAGGCGGTGGAGGTTCTGTCTCGTTGTAGGATGGCGGGGGTATCTGTGTGGGAGATGGGAGGGTGACGGCCTTGCCTCCTGTGCCGCGAAACATGGCAGTCAAGTCATCCTGAATGAAGAGGGACAGACCGTCGCTGACAGCTTGGCGGATCCTTTGGAGATGAACTTTTGACGTCGCTGAGTTTCTGATGTAGATAGAAAACACGGTGATATTTGCAAGTTCACGAAGAGCGTCGAGGACAGTACCGGATTGAGTCCGTAGGGGAGCCAGTGGTTCTTCAGCCTCAACAGAGACGATAAGTTTGGGGTTTTGGTGTAAGCGGAAGTCGAGGAGGAGGGTACTCGAGTGGAACTTGTCGCGCACTTCATCGGGAACTGAAGGGGCTTCGATGAAGTCGAAGGAGGATATGGATGGCGGAAGGACTCTGATGATTAAGAAGGTGCCTGTCTTGATGCCCTTGAGTCTGATGGGAATGTTGATGTCGAACAAGGTTTCCTGACTGTCGAAGCGAGTCGTGATGGTGATATCTCTTATCTGAGGGTCTGGGCCGATTAAAAAACGTGTCGTATCGTTCCATCGCCATGTAACGACAGCCGGCGTTGTACTATTCACATCGAGGCTGGATAATGTCGCCATTTCCGAACCTACCGGTTAGCAACAACCCGACAACAGCACTCACCTACGCAACCATTCCCAGAATCAGCGTTATCTGACAAGAAACTCGCCCCGTCTCCAGAACTGAGCTGCAAGCCGGAGCAAGTTCCCTTTACGATCTGTAAGAAACCAACAGATATCCACCAAGAGAAAGATCAGCTTCTCGCAAGCCGGGCAACTGTTCGAGCTCCAGAACTTGAGCTGCAAGACATCAAACAGTCCCCTCCACAGGCCCCGATCGTTCCAGCAAAGGAGGAGCGCGCGCCTCGTTTGATGGGTACAATACGGAATTTTATACGGTCTGTAGCGCGAGGTCACTGACTTTCTCTTAAACGCGTTTCGAGGGGAGGCTGTGCCGGAATGGGAGGGTTTGTGAATGTTAGGAAAAAATAAATCGATTGAGAGCCTCTCATGGGGGGAAAGTTATTGGTTTCGAGGGGCCTCGATGGTCGAAGGTGAGGCTTTGATGATGGGTCATCGTGAGGACTCGATGAGTGCGTGAATGCGGACAAGAGGCAGATGGAGATGGCGAGGATAAATGAGGTGGCGGGAAAACACTTGATCCGTGACACATTGTGGATCTAGACAAGATTAAGCCAATCACTCTTTTAACTGCGTGAAAGGTCACATGACACGAACTAAGGTCAGCCGCTTTTCCTCTTCTGTTCATGGGTACCCTATACCACGCGACATCGCATTTACGGTTCAATCTTCTGTCAGCGATCGCTTTGACCACAAGACAGAAATTAATAAACAAATAAACAAACAAACAGTTCAATCTTCTGAGCTTGCCCAATCACCTGGATTATCCACACCCTTTTCGAGTAACTATCGTTCCATAACTTTTCTGCAAAGTTGCGTTCAGCCGGATCTGTCCTGGTCAAATATTTTAATGATTCTGAGTTAAACTGTTTATTAACAAGTTTGTTTTAGATAACTCGTTGCAAGTCAGGCAAAGCTGCTTCTACATCTCTCTCTCGCAGCTCTATAACAATAGTCTGAGCTCTGAAGTAGATATTGTCTTGCTTACTCTGTTCAAGGATGTCTTTCTAGTTAACGCATATTACATCAGTCCAGTAATCAATATCAGGACCATGTATCTGGACAAAGTATAAAGCGTCCTTAAGGTTTTACATAAAGTTAAAGTTATACTTTATTCTACTTAATCTTCTCTCTATATATAAAAGAGCGTATTTAACCTAGACCTGTTACTAAATATAACTTTAAACAAGTTGCTGCTATTAAGATCACTATCCTTAGTTATATAGAGTATAGACTTGCCAGTAAGAAGCATATACTAGGTTATTACAGAAAATGAAAATACTCTATAGAGCGAGGAAATAAGCGTGATGTTAGACTAAGTAAAACTAAGGCTATACAGTAAAAGGTAAAGGTAATAGTAATTCAACTGTCTCCTATTCTTTACTACTCCTGCTTACTGTACTCTCTGGAATGCAACATGGACACCATTAGCATTGCCACAGCCAAGCGCAATTTCCTCAGTCCAAGGCTTTGGGTCCATCGATTGAATCGATGTGAACTCTTGAGCAAAACGCATTATGACCAGTAGAGACTCGGTGATGGCGTATTGCTGACCGAGGCAAATACGTGGGCCCCCATTGAAGGGCAGAAAGAACTGATTGTAATCAGTAGTGCGCTGATGTCTTACAAGACCATGCATAACATGTTGAACTTACCCATGAAGGTCTAAGAGACTCCCATCTCTCGGGCCGAAACTCTTCAGCGTCTTGACCATACAGATCCTTACGGCGATGCATGGCATAGACAGTGTAGTTGACCATAGAGCCTTTCGGAACATGAACGGGCTGATCACCATTTGGGCCACCACCATGAGGAAGAACTGTATCCCGATATGCCATGCGCCCATTACTAGGCACAGGAGGATGGAGACGTAATGCTAGGGTGACGTTAGCGAGAGCCTTGAGTCAAGAACAACACTGACATTCGTTGATGCAGTACTTAGCATATGTGAGATGACGAAGCTGCTCATAAGTTGGTTCGTTTGTATCAAGTTTCTTAACTTCATCTCGAATCTTGGCCCAGATATCTGGTCTGCGTGCGAGGATAAAGAAGAGATTGCCCAGCAGGTTCGAGGTCGTATCTCTTGCAGCTATCAAAACGCTTAACAACTCTGCGCGTATCTTTTCCTTTGATACACCCGAACTAGCAAGCTGCCTCAGCAGACTGTCGTGTCGACTTTTGGATTCACTCTTTCTTGATACTTCTCTCTTCGAGGGCGATGTGCGAAGAGCCATGGCTTGATCGACATAATGCTCGACGTAAGACCGACACACCTGATAGGCATCATGCGCCTTGGTTCGAGAGCCTTGGAAGCGACGGAACGGGCCCAATCTTGCCTGGTAAGCCACGTCCTTGAGGGTGAAATCAAAGGCTTTGGTAAACTCTTGGCTTGCTTTAGTAGGGTTGCAAAGTGTGTCTGTTGACTCGCCGAAGAGGAACTCAGTGCCAGTATCCATCGTGAAGTCAAAGAGAAGTTCCTGCAAATTGAAGGATGTATTGATGGGTATCTTTGAAACGAGGTCTGTGACATGTCGGTTTGTCAATTCAAGGTCAGCAACTTGATCTCGGGCAAAGGTTGGACGCATCAAAGCCCGCGAATGCGCCCACTCTTCGCCATCAGAAACAAACATACCGCCGCCCGTGACGGGGTTGAACAATGGGGCCCGAAAAGCAAGTCCATAGTCCTTGAACTTGAGAGCAAGAACTGTTTTAATGTTTTCCGGGTCGATTGTAAATATAGTCTGCTGAGAACCACGCTCAACAAGGAATGTGATGCCAACTGTCCTGTAAAGGTCGTTGGCAAAGGTTTCCAACAGTCGCTTTTCTTTGAAAACCCTCATCAGCTTCAAAATGAAGTCAATGCCAAAGAATGGATCCCTCAGTGGGAGCTGACAAGTCACAGGAGCGCAGCCGTGTTGTTCACGGAACTTCCGCCTTGCTCGTTTTGTAATCATGCGAGTTCCTATGATACGGAGAGTGTAGATTGTTAGGAGGGTGATGACAATCTTCCATTTGAGCGAGAGACTTTCGTCGATTGCTTTCCATGAGATTATAGCCATGATTTTTAAATGTTGTAACTATGTTGCTGAACTGGAGTATACTAATTGAAGAAATATGGTTCTCAAGTAGCTATGCTGAGCTGCAATATCCATTTTATCCAACGTTGTCAAACTGCTGCCCAACGTTCAAGGTTCGGAGGATAACATCCGTGTGAATTTTGCGGGAGAGAGAAATATCAAGATGCATGAGATAATGCATAGTTATGCAAATGGGTTACAGTTACATTCGGTCTTATCACAGATGAGACTCGGCCGGGCGCGGAGAGAGCCCGTAGCGCGGCCCATGGCCCGACCCGTGATCCCTGTATCTTACGTGTACCTGGGCAACAAGCTTTTAAAACAAAAGGACCTCGCTTAAAAGATGGTCTGTCAAGGCGTGGTTCTATCCGTCCAAGCATCATATTTTGTCCCCCTCCCTCCCCTTCATCCATGAGCTTATTCTTCTGTTACCTGCCGTTTGTGCTGACGACGTGTTGCAATATGGTCGGTATAGCTTTACTTGGAGCCGGTATCTTTGCGAGAGAGCGTACGTCGATCTCCCTTGAGCTGCTTATCAATGGCGAGGTTGCATTGCAGAGGAGCCTTTGAGTCAATGTTGCGCTGACATGGTACAGAACACTTGCCGGCTATTGAGGCCGTTGGACACCTCAGTCTCAAAGCCGTCTACTCACGATCTGAGCAAGCGGCAATATCGCTTGCCAAGAAAGCCCGGGACAGTGTTGACATCTACTTTGATAGCCCTCCCATAAGTGGAAGGTCACTCGACGATCTTCTCGCAAGGTCTGACATAGCTGCAGTGTCAGCATGTGCTACCATTCTAGTCCAGCCCCAACTTATCCGGAAAGCTCTGAGAGCCGGAAAGCATGTGTTGAGTGAGAAGCCGATAGCACATGATACTGACACTGCTATGGGCCTTGTTCAATGGTACAATGCTCAGTCCAAACCTCCGATATGGGCCGTTGCTGAAAACTTCCGGTTCAATGAGAGTCTGAAGTATGCTGAGATGAAAACCCGAGAGATGGGGGGTGAACTCACATCTTTCCGTCTGAGCTACTATGGATTAATCAAAAAGGAAAATAAATACTTCAAGGCAGAGTGTATGTGGGAGGTACTGTGCTTAGCCTTGACACAATTACTGATATGTCACAGGGCGCAAGGCTCCGGAATTCCAAGGTGGTTTCCTTCTCGATAGCGGAATTCACTTCATTGCCAGCCTCCGGCTTCTTCTCGATGCCATTGGGCACGAAGCTAAGGAGGTAATGGCCTTGTCCAGTCTACTTAAGGAGCATCTTCATCCTGTTGATACTATTCACGCTGTCGTATCCACCACTGGTTCTAGACACGGAACAGTTTGCATCTCTTTTGGGGCAGAACATAAATCCACGCTCGAGATCGAGATTATCAGTACTCGTGGCGTTGTTGTTTGGACACCTGTTAGTGTCGTCTCAAACATCAAACCAGATTCTGGGGAGCCAACGAGCGAGACCAAAGAATTCATCTATAACAACGGTGTTAAGGCCGAATTTGAAGCATTCTGTCAGGCCATGTTGCAGAATTTTCCAGACCCGCGTCAGAGCCCTCCAGAAGCTCTCAATGATCTTGCTCTTCTGCAAGGTCTGTTGGAGTCTGCAAAATGCAATGGCCTGATGAAGCTTGTTAAGTTTAAATGAGGATCGGATCGTACATTCCTAACAAGCTCATCTGGGTCAGTCAACCCCACACAAACGCAGACATATATAGCAAATGTTAGTTCAATTGGTTATCTCGCATCTCATGTCCTTTACAACTAAGCATACAGCATTTGAGAATCTGATCATGATTATACCGAGTGACATTATATTCTGCTTAGTATTATTCCGTGATGTAAATCTGAATCAAGAGATACACAGTAAGAGATTGGTTACTTATAAGAAGACACTTTTCTGTTTGCTAGCTTTCGAGTGTATGACGGCCAGGGCCTGATACTATCCTGCTCTCTCAGGCTTAGTGGGAGCTTTCCTTGGCTGTCTTTCAACAAGGAGCACCAGTGATAAAAGAGATGCAATGGAGAAATAAAGCATGACCCTCATCTGCTCCGAGTAGGCGTCCGCATACAGTACTCTTGTACGAGATTGTGTCTCGGGGGAGAGCATTCCAATATTCTCTGAGGACAGCAGTATTTGTGCAACTTGCTCTGCTGTTAAGAACTTGACAGCTTCTCTCTTTATATGGTTAATGAGCAAAGCGGAACAGACAGCAAGCCCGATTGTGCCTCCCAGCACTCTGATCTGTGTCACAGATCCCATTGTGACAGCTAAAGTTATGTTAGTTAAGAAGCATTAATGGTTTGGCAGGAAAATTGGGGATTCATACCCAAATCCTTCTCAGTGACGACGAGCGGCACCATCATCAGGATTGTGCTGAGGTTGAACCCGAAACCGAGGCCCATGATAGCCTCATACCCATATTGGGCGGAGGCAATCGAGGTTGATGATTTTAAGGAGCTATATAGGCCAACTCCTATTGTCTGCAGTGAACCTCCGAGGAAGAGCGTGTAGAGCGGAGGGACTCCCAGCTTAGAGACCAATATCCCGTTGATAGCAGTCGCCAATGGAGATAGGAGAAGTAGGGGTAGTGTACGAATGCCAGCGTTGATAGCTGATGTCATGTTGACCGTTTGGAATCTCTGCGGTATGTTGATAAGAGCAGCCATAAAGGGGAAACCTGTAAAGAACCCGTTTCTTGACAAACGCCAGATTAGCCCACCGCGAACTTAGGATTGACTGACTGTGGACTTACAAAAGTAGTCCCATAACAAACCTGTTGTGCACCAGGCTCCACGGGAACATGGGCTCACGGACACCGTGGCTCTTGGAAAGCAGTCGCTCCCAAAGAACAAAGGCAATCCACAAGACTCCAGAGAGTACAAAGGTTGATACAATAGCGCCACTGCCCCACGAGTAGGCCACACCACCTTGCTCGAGTGCAAAAATGATGAGGATGGAGGCAGCCAATGACACAGTCATACCAACAAAGTCAACCCGCTTCCACATTTGTTTCGATGCGAGGGAATGAAAGAATCGATCGGACTCCCCGAAGGGAAAGTTGAATGGGACCGAGAAGGCGAGAAGAACAGCCGCAAGCGCTCCCCCAGGGCCACTACCAGTGATCAGTCACTAAATGGTGCCTCCATTGCAAGGCGTATGGGGGGGGAAAGAACTCACTTGAAATAGAACACCCAACGCCATGTCGTGTGGTCTGTGATTGCTCCTCCAAGGATTGGTCCGAGGACACTCGAGAGGATAAAGGTTGACGACATGATAGAAATGTAGGTTGCGTACTTCTCTGGGGGCACCATGAGCGGTACCATGATTGTCGATAGAGAGTAGATACCGGAGCCTCCCATCCCCTGGAAAGCGCGGAAGACGATCCTACAATAAAGATGGACGATGAGCACGCGCACGAGGTTGGTATCAACTATCAAGAGAGGGAGTTGACATACAGAGGTACCATGGAGTCAGAAGCACCGCATGCCATAGAGAAGATAGTAAATATCGTGATCGCAAGTAATAGCATAAGTTTACAGCCAAATATGTCACTGAGCTTGGAATAGATGATGAGGAAACCTGAAATCTCTTAGTTCTCATACTGGCATTATACGACAGAGAGAACATACCGGTATATGTTACCAAGTAGGATGTCACGATCCAACCGGCCATATTAAAGCCTTGAAGGGCATCGACGATTGAGACCAGAGCCGTGCTCACAATCGTAGTCTCCAATGTCGACAGCAATAAGCTCAAGCACAGTCTATAGCAATGGCAATCAGCTGTGAATAAGGGCAACTGGGCGAAAATAACCTACGCTGCGGTTAAAGCATGAAGCCTCCACCCAGTATGGTACACCTTTTGTTTGGTCGCATTGTCTGACGGACCAGCTGCAACCTCGACATTCCTGTTATTGTCGCTCAAGGCCGAGCCGTGGTTGTCGGATGAAGCTTCGGCTTCGGTCACCGTGTCAGGGGGTAATCCACGTGCATCGCCAGCAGACGCCTCGTTGTTTGTCTTGACGGGATTATCGGGCGAGGAGTCCTGAAGATGTTTTAATGGCAAATCTGATGCCGTCGACATGGTGGGAAGAGAACTGTGCCAGAGAGAGTTCTAGAAGCTCAGCTGGCGTAAGAAAGAGAGAACACGGTCGGGGCTCAGATTTTGCATTGGTATGAGCGATACAGACAGGTAAACGGAACAAAGGAGAAAAAGAGTGGGGGATGAATTTGTGGTCAGCTTTACGAGAAGAGACAACAACAATAATTTCAGCCTCAGGAAACAAGAAACAAGAAACAGACAGAAATTGCTAATTCCCGGGTTGCCTCCACTCTATGGTCTGTGCGTTTCCTGTGAAATCCAGGGGGCGGGGTGAGGTAGCCAGCAAGGGGGATAGATAAGAAGACTGATTACCCTGTATCTGTAAATAGGATATAGCATATCACTCTTGATTGGAGCGGTAAGCTGCGCAAGATGGAGAGATTAGCATTTAGATCTTTGGTTGAGATTCGTATCTACCTCATTATGAGCTTTTTGGTTCTGGTACTCCACTTCTGCAATGACACTTCGGTTGCGATATTGACTTTTGCAGTTTTTTAATCTACTCCATCGGGATAGACGAAAAGTATGCAGCTTCGGCCCCAATGTCTCACTCGGTGAGATGCATGATAAGCAAACCCCGGTCAAGGGGAACGTGCACATGTCTTAACGGTTGACCAACCTGGACTGTTGGGTATGAAGGTACGGAGTATAGTTAGGTTAGGTATTTTTTCCTTAGCGTTACAGTCTTCTCTGTATAATGTCTACTACTCTAGCTACTCCACGGTGGGAAGCTAAATCGGTAAATCCTGAACTCCCCTGTACCTATCCGTAGATCAGCCTGGACACAGAATGACACCTGATTAGCCGGCTGGTGAGAGCCAAGACACTGAATTTAAGCATATATTTAGCCTTTGTAAATTTACTTGAGATAAGGGGCTGCATGAGTAAGCCTTCCCCTATCTGGCAGACAAAGCTAGAATGGCACAATTGCCTCAGAGATAAGCATGCTTCAACTCTCATCGTCGATCAGCGAGAGAATTCGCTCATGGGCGAAAAAGATGGTGTCAATCTTTCCCGACATGACGGAAAACACTCGGCCGCGACGCGAGACTCGACAGCTGCGGTCATCATAGGCCCCTAACGGTTTGGTCTTGACGGCAAGCTGTGGACCAATGTAACGGAAGGTCTCGAGGAACGTGGGGAGGTAGTGCATAATCTGTTCCTCCATAAGCGCCCGCTTGGCTGATATGGTTGCGGGGCTAACGTCGTCCCGTGCCGCCCGAGCTTCTGCTGCAGTCTTGAATTGTCCGAGAGGCGTGTGGGGGACGCTAGACAAGGTAAATAATCCCGGCACTTCAGTGGGGTAGACGGAAGCCAGGGGACCATCGACCAAGGTCACGGCCGGAAATTCAGGAGGCCCCTCGTAGTAGAGTAACAAGGTGGCCTCGTATATGACCTGTAGATCCAGGTCCATGTAATGCCCCCATGTTGCATCCACCACAAAGTCAAAGCGTTCGCCGTCGATCAAGACGCCATCGTCGACCTCTTGAATGCTCGAAACCTTTCGCCCAAGTTCAAGGGCACCTTTGAGTGCTGCCTCGAAGTAAGCACGGGCTTTGCTCAGCAGCAAAACCCTCTCCGGCACACACATAATACCGTCAACGTTAGTGATATGAACACCCGGAGGTGCTCCTTCAGTAAATGCCACCCCGCTTGAGGCCATGATGGCCTTGTAGGTATTGTAATCAAGCAGGGAATCTCGGGTGGGTACAGCGTAGATGTTGCAGGGTACAGTGCGGCTCAGCTCGGGGTAATGCTCGACGAAACGCAGAAAGCCATCTCTTGACTGATTACGCGTACCACTGTGACGAGCATAGTGGAAGCCCATATGCAGCCGGAACTGGTTGTTGCCAGATGCTTCATGTAGTAGTCGCTTATGCTGTTCAAACAACTTAACGCGAAGGCCGAGAGCGCGAAGGGTTGCGGCGATGTGACAGCCATACCATCCCCCACCAATGACGCCAAGACTGTGGGGGTTGACAGAAGCGTCTTTTTCTACCTTTCTGTTTCCATTGGTACCGTTGCCAATACCATTGTGAAGTTCCTTTTCGAGGTTCGGCATATTGGTAGGTTTGGGTGTTTTAAAAAATGTCTTTCAGGATATTATTCTTTGCGTCTCGCTTGACTCTAGAGATACGAAATGAGCCTCTGGAAAAATATCTTGTACTGGTTACAATTTGCAACTGTAAAGATAACAAAGGCGATTTCAAAAATCTCTGCAGATGTATTGAGTTTTGATATTTATGAATGGGATTATGACTCCTTTTATCCTGTCCTCGCTCATTCACCCCGTCTTGAGTACATGACTTGAAAGTCTCGATATAACCGTGGACTTGTACATTTCCTAGATGACTGAAAAGTTCCCCTGGCTCGGGATGATGTATACTTCTTACTGATTCTGGTGCTAGTGGTGGGTAGATAGGCTTCTCCAGGGTCGGGATAAGACAGGCAGCGCAATATACATATGCCTTGCAGAATAGAACGGTAGGAAATGTGACTCTGTTGATAAGCAAACGCATCTCGTATTGACGGAAACTCTGCGTAAGCATACTGCGTTTATCTGTCACATTAAGCTCTGCACTTCTGACTTGGCAATTGACTTGGAGATATGTGATCATGCCACGTAGCATCAGTACTTCAACAAGAAGGAGCTTACTCTAGCACTGGTCACCTCTTGGAGCGCAACACGGGGGACCTAATTACTATCTCTATACATCTTCTAAAGTCTCTTGATTCTTGGGTAAACTCAAACTCTCCATCACCTGAAGTTCCTAACCGCTTTGCCCTCCACGCCATGCGTATACTTTGCCTTCACGGAATGGGCACCAACAGCAAGGTACGTAACCGTTGTATCTAGGCTGAAAACATTATATTATGACAAAATCTAACAAAGACTCTAGGTGCTCGAGATGCAGACGTGTAAGTAACATTTCTTCACACAGTTCAGTTGATTACATGTACTGACTTTATTGCAGCTGCACTCCGACATCAACTCAGCCATTCACAATCGCACAGATACGAATATGTTGATGGTGGGGAGCCTATGCCGCCCGCTCCTGGTAAGTCATTGCGATATCTACTTACTCACTCAAGCCTCTTACACATAACATAGGGATAGAGGCCTTCATTGGTCGGGACGAGAGCCTTGCGTACTACCATCCACACTCGGCAAAGAGCATTCTAGCAGCCATTGACGACCTATGGGAGTACATTGCCGAGGAAGGTCCCTTTGAAGGTGTCTTGGGCTTCTCTCAGGGTGCATCTCTAGCTGCCATGATTATTGCTCGTGCCCGTCACTCCAACCCACCACCCTTTCAGTTCGCCATATTCTTCTGTGCAGGGCTCCCTTACTGCGAGAAGTCTTTATCTGCCGGCGAGGTCAAGTTTCTGAGGGCTGAAGATACCAAAGGTCCAGTCATCCATGTGCCAACAGCTCACATCTTTGGCAAAAAGGACCCCGATGTTAGCTACAGTAAAGCAATGATTGAATTGTGCCATCCCTGGGGAAGAGTTCTTCTGGATCATGGAGCTGGACATGAGATCCCGAGAGTACCTATTGAAATAGTGGATGACATGGCAAGGGCGGTAGAGAAGGTTGTTACCAAGGCAGCGATCGGTCAGTAGCTATAAGTAGATTGATGAGAAGCGCTAAGATACACGAGATAAATCATTGCCGCACCATCTTAATAACTGCCCGAGTAATCCATGAAATGAGACCAAATAGAATGAAAAATAAAAGCGTGATGTCGATGTTGTTGAGCTTGATCCAAGACATTCGCACATCAGGTGTCTGAAGGTGCATAGGACGCAGTTCTTTGCCTCGTGGATACACATCTTTTGGGTTTGAAGCTTGCGAATAGGCGTTTTTACTGTTGGCGGATGCTTTAAGATCTAGAAGTGAATTCTCAAATCTACCGTCCCAGTCATATAGATGCTCCTCAATGAGATTGGCAGCGAAATGCTTCTTCCGCGATCCCACCATGGCAATTCTCTGCATACGCTTGACGTTTCTCTGGAACGACTCTTTGTCAAATAAGAGTATCGTTCTGATGGCTACTGTCAAGGAAGCTGCATCAAAAGTTTCTTTGTCCAGACGAACTGCAACGCCAGATCGTTCAAGTCTGAGTGTGGTGACCATCTGGTCACCAAATATGCCCATTGCGACCATAGGGACACCATGGAAGATGGATTCATTGACAGATGAAGGCCCAGCGTGTGTGACGAAAATGACTGTGGAATCATGTTCGAGAATAGAACGCTGAGGCACCCAGGTAGCAAAGTGCCACGCCTGATCCTGGTTCTTGAACAGTTGATCAATGGTCAGATGAGACAGATGTGGCGATTGGACTCGAATGCTGGTATCAAGTCGACCACGACTTCTGGCACTGAGCGCCCAGACAACGCCGTCGATCAGACCGGAAGAAATGGCATCAGCGAGACCGTTGATAATTCTAAAGATCTTCCCGTCGTCAAGGATAACATGAGTACCAAACGCAACTAAAGCGACCTTTTGATGCGTCTCAACAAAGGACTTGATATCTCCATCGAGAGAAGGATATGAGTCGGCCAAGATAGGGCCTACAGCATGAACCAGAGGTGGAGTGTCTCGTGGTGTCTCCATGCCATAGAAATTGTTCAGAAACACAAGATAGTCAGGCTTGGAAAGTTTAGGCCGAGGTGCGACTCCTCCTTTTCGACGCATTGCCTTGGTCCAGAAGATCCAATGAAGAAAGAATGGCGCGGAGCGAAGCAAAAAGGTCATCTCAAACAACCTGTCATAAATGCTTGCGTGCTCGCTGGTCAAGCATCTCTGCTGCATACCAGGCTGACCCGGAATGTACTTCTGAGGCATCATCAACCACGGCATCTGAGGCCACATGACTGCGTGAGGGAGCTGAAACTCATTGCAGACATCTAGAGCCGCTTCAACGTGGAAGTCGGAGAAGATAAAATCAGGCTTGCTGGTAGTGATTACCTCCTTCAGCCCACGGTAGGTAAAAGGCCAGAAGGCGTCAAATGCCATTTTGCCTTTGACAATATCCCTTTTGCCTTGGGCAGTGTTCCAGTTCCAGCGCGAGAAGAGGATGTAATGTTTTTCATCTTCCTCAGCAGAGATTGCTGGACCAACCACGTGAACCTTTTGCACGAAAGGATAGTTGTCAACCAGCTTTTCTCTGCCCTTCAGTGTTGCAAAGTCAATTGTATGACCTCTAGCTGCCAAGATGGAACATATTTCCAGAATTGGTGCTGTCTGTGAATTAACATCTAATTTTTTCATCAACGCCAAAGTGATTTGCCTACCTGAATTGGTTGACCCTCCGACCGTGACAACAACGAGAATTCTGGCTTTAGGCAAAGACATGGTGATGGCCTTACTCTAGCACACTTGTCTGTGCACGAATGAACATATAATGAAGTTTGTAAACTTTGGGCTGGATATAGAGATGGGCTTGTCGAGGTACCCGTTATCCTTGAGCTTGAAAATTGCCTTTGGCTGCCATCAGTCACATGTCTTGACTACAGCCGTCACATCAAGATGCGGAAGCATATCCCCACGAATGAGCGTTGAGTATGGCTTGGGTGAGAACGCAATGTTATCTTACTGCATCAACACATCGTGATCGATAACTCAAAACTCAAACAGATAAGCGCTAAAATGTGATATGCGTGATATATGTAATGGCACATATCGCGTGCGAACCAGCGTTGCAATGCATGTTGGTCAGCATTTGTGGGCTGATTTCTTCCGGCCCTACGGTGTATTGATTACGTGGTTGCAATGAACCTGCAGCCCTACCCCCCGCGGATCTTTCCAAAGAATGCTACAGCTATTCAATTTTGACTCACTTGAGAAGCGGGATCTTTTGCCAGACGCAAGTAATGGTCAACACCACTCTGACCACCTGCTTATCTGGTCCAGGCTAAACACACAAATGGGACTTTGGCTCGAAGGCATGCATTGCATATGGGGTGGCAGAACTAGAGAACCATGCTTGAAATACCTGGCGGATATGTAAATATACGAATATTCATTGATGAGAGCCGTGATGGTTTCTGTATTGTCACTTAAGTGATTGTCAACAAGGCTATCTTGACCTCAGAAGGATCAGCCCCTCCAGGTAACGTCACGACACCAGGTGATAACAGATATTTCTGAAAGTGGCCGAATCAGAGTGTAAGAAACTATCCGCGGAGACATTGTAACTCAGATTGACGATAAACCTTCTCAAAATTGCGTGAGACAGAATAAACTCGCAGGAGCTATTAGGCTGTTTGCCTTGCATGTAATCCATGATAACGATGTTGGGGATAGCGTCAATACCACTCACGCTTTGACAACTCATCAACGCCACTGCAGATACACATGATGAACCTGATAATCAGTAATCGTTTAGTGAATACTCACCCCCACGGTGAATTGGATACCTGATCGATCCAACATGCACTATCTGGAGAGCTGTTGGATGAAGTTACGATGATAGGGCGAAAGCAAGAGGAATAGGGGGAACTCACGCATTGTGTCTTAGCATAACCCTATAATAACTCTGCAACGCCTATTATTAGCCATGTGACAAACTTCAAGTATCTCAAGCCTTTTTCCGTATACCCAATTATTCAACATTACTGCATTATTGTTTCTGAATCTACCTCAAGTCTAGCTATGGAGCCCATTGCTGTTATTGGCCTTGATCTCAAGTTTCCCGGCGATGCTACAGACGCCGATGGATTCTGGGATATGCTGGTAACTGGCCGTTCAGCATGCACAGATATTCCAGACGATCGCTTCAAAGTCTCGTCATTTTACCACCCGGACCCAGAGCGTTCGGGTTCGGTTAGCATTCCTATTCTTCTGTGATTTCGTGTCGAGGAGCATACTAATCAGCATCGTAGCTCAATGTCACCAGGGCGCATTTTCTGAAGGGCGAAATCGCTGCCTTCGATGCCCCTTTCTTCTCTATCACACCTGCTGAAGCGGGTGGTATGGATCCTCAGCAGCGTGGTCTGCTTGAGAATACCTATCGTGCTCTCGAAAACGGTATGAACCTTGAATCCTTTGACTACTAAGAATCTGGATCTGACTCTATCAAGCGGGGTGTCCAATGAACAAAGTTCTCGGAACAAACACTGGTGTTTTCATTGGTTGTTTCACTCGTGAATATGAAGCCATCATGTTCAAGGAGACCGAGATACAGCAGCGTTACTTTGCTACTGGTACTGGAACAACCATGCTTGCCAATCGACTGAGCTATTTCTATGACCTTCATGGTCCTAGCATAAGTCTTGATACAGCTTGCTCCAGCAGTCTCAATGCCTGCCACCTGGCTTGTAACAGCCTACGATTAGGCGAGTGTGATATGGCATTAGCAGCTGGCTGTAACCTTTTCTACAATCCTGACACCATCATCCCACTCACAGCCCTTGGCTTTCTATCTCCCGATGGGAGATGTTATAGCTTTGATGAACGAGCCAACGGATACTCACGCGGTGAGGGATTTGGTATGGTTGTGCTGAAGAGACTGAGTGATGCTATCCGAGATGGCGACTGTATTCGTGCCATTGTTCGAGGCTCCTCAAGCAACCAGGACGGTAACTCACCTGGTATCACACAACCCACTCGACAGGCACAAGTTGACTTGATCAACGCCGCATATCGATCAGCTGGTCTATCCAAGACGCAGACACGCTTCTTTGAGGCTCACGGCACAGGCACTCCTGTGGGTGACCCCATTGAAGCCAGTGCTATCAGCGGTGCTTTCTCAGAGTACCGCTCCGAGCAGGAGCCAATGGTTGTCGGGGCAGTCAAGACAAACATCGGCCATCTTGAAGGCTCGGCTGGGATTGCAGGTCTCATCAAGGCTATTATGGTCCTTGAGAAAGGCATAATCCCCCCTAACATGGGCTTTCAAACCCCCAACCCCAAGATTCCTGTTCATGATTGGCACCTCAAGTTCCCTACCAAGCCTGAAGCTTGGCCTACTAAAGGACTCAGGCGAGCTTCAATCAATGCCTTTGGTTACGGTGGAAGCAATGCCCACATCATCATCGATGATGCCTATCACTATCTCCTCGAACACGGGTTGAAAGGCAAACACCAAACCATTGAGTACCCTCCGGTGGAGGGTTTGAAGTCTTCCATCAATGGAACCAATGGTATTAATGGTCATTCCAATGGTATCAATGGCCACACCAACGGTCATCAGTCTACTTCTAGCTCTAGTGACGATGAGTATATCTTGGTCAAGCGCTTTAAAGGTCATGCCCCTCCAAGTCGCTCATTCTTCTTTTCCACCTTCGACGAAGCTGGAGCAGCCCGCATGGCACAAGCATACAAGGAGTTCCTTGCTTCCACTAGCAAATCAATAGTTGCTGGGTCTGAGGAAGAACAGCGCTTCTTGAGTGACCTTTCTTACACTCTCATCAACCACCGCACATCCTTCCCTTGGCGGTTCTCTATAGTCGCCGACAGCATCGCGGCTTTGGCTGGCAAATTGGAGGCTAACCCCTCACCTGTCAGAGCCACTGCTGATCCCAAGCTTGGATTTGTTTTTACAGGACAAGGTGCGCAGTGGTACGCCATGGGTAGAGAATTGCTCTCTGCTTACCCGACATTCAGCACATCCATCTTTGCTGCAGACTTGTATTTGCGAGAGCTGGGATGCCCATGGTCACTTGTTGGTGAATTGCTCCAGAACCAGGACAAGTCACGCATCGATGATCCTGCATTGAGTCAACCAATCTGCACAGCCTTGCAGGTTGCTCTTGTTGACCTCCTCGCCAGCTGGGGTATTAAGCCTGCTGCGGTGGTCGGCCATTCATCGGGTGAGATCGGTGCTGCCTATGCTACAGGTGCCATCTCGCAGGAGTCGGCCTGGAGGCTAGCATTCTATCGCGGTGCTCTGTCCTCACGGCTGGCCAAGTCACCCGACCATACCAATGGAGCTATGCTCTCAGTGGCCATGAGCTCATCAGATGCCATGACTTATCTTGAGGAACATGTTGGCAGCGCCGCCGGTAGAGACATCGTCGTTGCTTGTATAAACAGCCCTCGAAATGTGACACTTAGCGGCAGTGCAGCATACATTGACAAGATCAAGGCTGCTGCAGACCGTGACGGTATTTTTGCCCGCAAGCTCAAGGTTGATAACGGCTACCATTCACCTCTGATGGCCACCATTGCCGACGAATACAGAAGCGTTATTGGTGACCTCGATGCCGGAACCAACATATCACCAGGCCAGGCTGCTCCAGTCTTTTACTCGTCCCTGGGAGGAACAGTTAGCTCTGTCTCTACTCTTCAGAACCCCGATCACTGGGTTGACAACCTGGTTTCGCCTGTCCAATTCTCTAAAGCCTTCTCGCTCATGTGCTCCAACACTAGTTCCAGCGCACCAGTCAAGAAGCTTGGGTCCTCGGCCAAAGCAACAGTCAAGCCCCCAAAGATTACTCATGTACTCGAGATTGGTCCTCATGCGGCCTTGCGTGGCCCCATTCGTGAGATCATGGAGTTGACGCCAGAAGTGAGTGGTATTGGATACGAGTCAGTGCTTCGTCGTGGTGCTTCTGCGATTGACACTGCTTTGAGCGCTGCCAATTGGCTTTGGTGCCGTGGTTACGAAGTGGACATGTCTGATGCCAGTATAGCAAAGGACAGCTCGCTTGTGGTCAACGCACCAGGATATCCTTTCAACCATTCCAACATCTATTGGAATGAGAGCCGAATCAGTAAAGGATATCGCTTCCGTCCTGCTATGCGACATGAACTATTTGGTGCGCCAGTGCCAGATTGGGACCCATCCAATGCTGTGTGGCGTAACTACATGCGTCTTTCAGAGAATCCTTGGGTGAAACATCATCGAATCACCGGTGCTACCATCTATCCCGCGGCAGGAATGCTCGTGATGGCCATAGAGGCCAGTCGACAGATGGCAGACATTACTCGGGTAGTCAAGGGCTTCCGCATTCTTGACGCTCGCTTCAATGTTGCTCTTCGCGTTCCAGCGACGCAGAATGGTCTCGAGACGCACTTTTATATGCAGCCCTCCAGGGATCATCCAGACACTGTGGCGAGGACTGTAAGAAAGTTCTCCCTTAGCAGTTATGAGGGCGGTGAGTGGCGTGAGCACTGCCACGGCCTGGTCGTCACTGAGTACGAGCAACCTTATACTGTCGTGGATGACGGAAGAGAAGACTTCGAGTTTCAAGAAGCATGTAAGAATAGGCTTGCGGACGTGGAGAAGGCCTCAAAAGTTGAGACCTCATTCCGACAGCTCTATGAGCATTTGTCGACCGTTGGTCTTGACTTTGGCGCTACTTTCCAAACCCTCCGCGACATTCGCTGCGGTGACATTGGAGAAGCTGTGG